TAGTATGGCAGAAAAAAGGCATAGTACAGTAAGGCATAAAAAGTCATAGTATAGGATGGCATAAAAGCGTCAGTTTATTAAGGCATAAAAAGTAGTAAAAACGACATAGTATAGTAAGGCATAAAAAGTCCTAAAAATGTCATAGTATAGTATGGCAGAAAAAAGGCATAGTACAGTAAGGCATAAAAAGTCATAGTATAGGATGGCATAAAAGCGTCAGTTTATTAAGGCATAAAAAGTAGTAAAAACGACATAGTATAGTAAGGCATAAAAAGTCCTAAAAATGTCATAGTATAGTATGGCAGAAAAAAGGCATAGTACAGTAAGGCATAAAAAGTCATAGTATAGGATGGCATAAAAGCGTCAGTTTATTAAGGCATAAAAAGTAGTAAAAACGACATAGTATAGTAAGGCATAAAAAGTCCTAAAAATGTCATAGTATAGTATGGCAGAAAAAAGGCATAGTACAGTAAGGCATAAAAAGTCATAGTATAGGATGGCATAAAAGCGTCAGTTTATTAAGGCATAAAAAGTAGTAAAAACGACATAGTATAGTAAGGCATAAAAAGTCCTAAAAATGTCATAGTATAGTATGGCAGAAAAAAGGCATAGTACAGTAAGGCATAAAAAGTCATAGTATAGGATGGCATAAAAGCGTCAGTTTATTAAGGCATAAAAAGTAGTAAAAACGACATAGTATAGTAAGGCATAAAAAGTCCTAAAAATGTCATAGTATAGTATGGCAGAAAAAAGGCATAGTACAGTAAGGCATAAAAAGTCATAGTATAGGATGGCATAAAAGCGTCAGTTTATTAAGGCATAAAAAGTAGTAAAAACGACATAGTATAGTAAGGCATAAAAAGTCCTAAAAATGTCATAGTATAGTATGGCAGAAAAAAGGCATAGTACAGTAAGGCATAAAAAGTCATAGTATAGGATGGCATAAAAGCGTCAGTTTATTAAGGCATAAAAAGTAGTAAAAACGACATAGTATAGTAAGGCATAAAAAGTCATAGTATAGTATGGCATAAAAGCGTCAGTTTATTAAGGCATAAAAAGTAATAAAAACGACATAGTATAGTAAGGCATAAAAAGTCCTAAAAATGTCATAGTATAGTATGGCAGAAAAAAGGCATAGTACAGTAAGGCATAAAAAGTCATAGTATAGGATGGCATAAAAGCGTCAGTTTATTAAGGCATAAAAAGTAGTAAAAACGACATAGTATAGTAAGGCATAAAAAGTCCTAAAAATGTCATAGTATAGTATGGCAGAAAAAAGGCATAGTACAGTAAGGCATAAAAAGTCATAGTATAGGATGGCATAAAAGCGTCAGTTTATTAAGGCATAAAAAGTAGTAAAAACGACATAGTATAGTAAGGCATAAAAAGTCCTAAAAATGTCATAGTATAGTATGGCAGAAAAAAGGCATAGTACAGTAAGGCATAAAAAGTCATAGTATAGGATGGCATAAAAGCGTCAGTTTATTAAGGCATAAAAAGTAGTAAAAACGACATAGTATAGTAAGGCATAAAAAGTCCTAAAAATGTCATAGTATAGTATGGCAGAAAAAAGGCATAGTACAGTAAGGCATAAAAAGTCATAGTATAGGATGGCATAAAAGCGTCAGTTTATTAAGGCATAAAAAGTAGTAAAAACGACATAGTATAGTAAGGCATAAAAAGTCCTAAAAATGTCATAGTATAGTATGGCAGAAAAAAGGCATAGTACAGTAAGGCATAAAAAGTCATAGTATAGGATGGCATAAAAGCGTCAGTTTATTAAGGCATAAAAAGTAGTAAAAACGACATAGTATAGTAAGGCATAAAAAGTCCTAAAAATGTCATAGTATAGTATGGCAGAAAAAAGGCATAGTACAGTAAGGCATAAAAAGTCATAGTATAGGATGGCATAAAAGCGTCAGTTTATTAAGGCATAAAAAGTAGTAAAAACGACATAGTATAGTAAGGCATAAAAAGTCCTAAAAATGTCATAGTATAGTATGGCAGAAAAAAGGCATAGTACAGTAAGGCATAAAAAGTCATAGTATAGGATGGCATAAAAGCGTCAGTTTATTAAGGCATAAAAAGTAGTAAAAACGACATAGTATAGTAAGGCATAAAAAGTCCTAAAAATGTCATAGTATAGTATGGCAGAAAAAAGGCATAGTACAGTAAGGCATAAAAAGTCATAGTATAGGATGGCATAAAAGCGTCAGTTTATTAAGGCATAAAAAGTAGTAAAAACGACATAGTATAGTAAGGCATAAAAAGTCCTAAAAATGTCATAGTATAGTATGGCAGAAAAAAGGCATAGTACAGTAAGGCATAAAAAGTCATAGTATAGGATGGCATAAAAGCGTCAGTTTATTAAGGCATAAAAAGTAGTAAAAACGACATAGTATAGTAAGGCATAAAAAGTCCTAAAAATGTCATAGTATAGTATGGCAGAAAAAAGGCATAGTACAGTAAGGCATAAAAAGTCATAGTATAGGATGGCATAAAAGCGTCAGTTTATTAAGGCATAAAAAGTAGTAAAAACGACATAGTATAGTAAGGCATAAAAAGTCCTAAAAATGTCATAGTATAGTATGGCAGAAAAAAGGCATAGTACAGTAAGGCATAAAAAGTCATAGTATAGGATGGCATAAAAGCGTCAGTTTATTAAGGCATAAAAAGTAGTAAAAACGACATAGTATAGTAAGGCATAAAAAGTCCTAAAAATGTCATAGTATAGTAAGGCATAAAAATGACATTGTATAGTAAGGCATAAAGCGCATAAAAACAACATAGTATATTAAGGCATAAAAAGTCATAAAATAGTCATAGTATAGTAAGGCATAAAAAGTCATAAAAACGTCATAGTATAGCTAGGTATAACAAGGTTATATTATAGTAAGGCATAAAAATAACATTGTATATGAAGACATAAAAAGTAAAAAAAAGTGTCATAATAAAGTAAGGTATAAAAACGATTAAGTGTATTAAGGCATAAAAAGTCATTAATACGACATTGTATAGTAAAGCATAAAAATCTTTAAAATAGTCATAGTATAGTGTAAGAGAAAAATCACATATTTTACTTTGTATGACCTGGCTTTGTATGACTTAGGACCTAAATCTGTCCTCACACGTGTGCTTCTTATCTGGTGCTGTCTGGTACGAATTAAGGAGTTTCTTGTCCTTAAAGATGCAGCTGCTTCTGTTTGACAGTTTTGGTGTTACTCAGAATCGTGCACACACATCCTGACTCAGCCTCCTCCAAATCCTTTCTTTATAAAGTGCATGTACCTTCTTTGTCTGACATCAGTCTTCTTTGTCATCACACTCTGTTGTGACAGTACAATGATCCTTTGTTCTTATTAAAATACACAGACAACTTGGTCATTGTGTCAACTCTTTATTTTCAGATTTCCACCACAATAGTAAGGCATAAGTAGTCAGAGGTGTAAAAAGTCATAAAAACGACATAGTATCATAAAGCATAAAAAGTCATAAAAAAGTCATAATATAACAAGGCATGAAAACGACATTGTATAGACATCAAAATTCATAAAAACAACATAGTCTATTAAGGCATAAAAAGTCATGACAACATCATAGTATAGTAAGGAATAACAATTTCATATTATTGTAAGGCATAAAAACAACATAGTATAGTGAGGCACTGAATGTTATAAAGACGAAATAGTATATTAAGGCATAAAAAGTCATAAAAATGTCATAAAATAGTAAGGCATAAAAAGTCATAAAAATGTATAGTAAGGCATAAAAAGTCATAAAAAAAGGATAGTATATTAAGGCATAAAAAGTCATAAAAATGTAGTATAATAAGGCATAAAAAGTCATAAAAACATCATAGTATAGCAAGGCATAAAAATGACATCGTATCGTGAGGCATAAAAAGTCATAAAAACAACATAGTATATTAAGGCATAAAAAGTCATAGTATAGTAAGTTAAAAAAAAGTCATAAAAACATCATAGTATAGCAAGGCATAAAAAGTCATAGTATAGTAAGGCATAAAAAGTCATAAAAATATAATAGTACAATAAAGCATAAAAAGTCATACAAACATCATAGTATAGTAAGTCATAAAAAGTCATAAAAAGTCGTAGTATATTAAAGCATATAAACTCATAAAAACAACACAGTATAGTAAGGCATAAAAAGTCATAGTATATTAAAGCATAAAAACTCATATAAACAACACAGTATAGTAAGGCATAAAAGTCAAAAACGTCATAGTATAGTAAGGCATAACAATGTCACATTGTAGTGAGGCAAAAAAAGTTATCAAAACGTCATAGTATATTAAGGCATAAAAAGTCATAGTATAGTAAGGCATAAAAAGTCATAAAAAGTCATAGTATAGTAAGGCATAAAAACGCTCTCGTATAGTAAAGCATAAAACGCCTTAGTATGGTAAGGCATAAAAATATCATATTATAGTGTATTTTCTAAGCGTAACTTTTCATGGATGCCGTATTATTGAAATTTTTTTTTAAAAAAGTTCAATATATTATTGTTAATTATTGCAAGAATACGACATTGTTTCATATTTCGTTGTATTTTGTTTCTAATTTATTTTTTATTTTTTATTGGGAACAGTAGAAACAATCGGACATATCAGTTCTTAAATAAAAGAAACATATACAATTTTGACAAAAAAAAAGATAAAAAATAATTCTAAATAGGAACAAATACTACAACAAATACGTATTTTAAGTGACAGACTTCTTGACATTTCAGAATAGATATCGACTGTTGACACGGACTTCTTGGTTGTTACAAAATTAAGTGACTCAAAGCAATGTTCAAGATCAAATATAAACAACTTGAATGAGGGAATTCATTGAAGAAAGGTTCTAAAAATTAAATATTTATCATGATTATGGGTCACCACGTGCTTATACTTGCTCCGCGTTCTCTGCATACGAGCACGCGCGTATGCTCGATAGCAGCAGCGTTCGATTATTTTTGACTGCAAACAAGATGGCCGCGAAGTGTCATCCGTGATAATTCTCACCCTCTTCTTATTTTCTTATAATATTCATATTTTAAAGTTACTGAAGGAAATGGGGCTATCGCAGAGTTCAGAAGTGTCAGAGGGAGGAACGTATGGATACCATGTGCACGGCGTAAGATCTTAAATGATTCCGCTTCCTTTTTGAGTTTGGAGCAGCTTGTACAGCAGCTTATCATGAGACGTTACTGTATGCTAACAGATAGCTAGCTGCGGGAGACATACCGGTAAAACCTGACGTGGTGGTACTGCTTACCTGTGACTCCAAGTGGACACTATTATGCAACAGAAAAGTCTACTGGGTTATTTTATGTTTTAAGAAATAAACTTGAATACCGTTTAACTTGTCTTAAAGAAAGTCTTCCATCAGTCCCGATTCCGTTGATAGAGTCCGTTTTTGTTTTGTTTTTTAATGAAAGACGTTAAATACAAGATGAATGCCTGTAGCTAAGGCTTTGGCGAATCAATTACAGAAGAGTAAATTTACTGGCCTCTAATTAATTGCCTTACCTTTTCACGATGTATCAAGGAAATAGAACCATTGTACTTTGACGTTTCTGTAGTCCTGAAATGATTAGTAGACTAACTGATAAATCGATCGATACATCGGGAGCGATCCTGCGAAATTGCCTAAAATTTCTTGGTTCTAGCTTCTCAAATGGGAATATTTTCTACTTTTCTCTGTTTAATATTGTAAATTGAACGTTTTTTAACCGCTGGTCGGTCAAAACAAGCAATGTGAAGTTCTTGGTCCCTGGGAAACTAAATGATTATTTGAATGTTTAACAAAATATATTCATACCTTAAATTATCCCTAGTTGCTTTTAGAGTGTAGTCGTGTACTAAGTTAAAGAGTTAAAAATATACTTGCTGTTTACTGATTTTAATATTTTGAAAATGTATTTCCCAAATAATATTTAAATTGAATAATATGAAAACGCTTGTGTCTGTTTTGACAGGTGCAGCCAAATTCCCCTGCAGAACAGGCCGGACTGCAGCCCTTCTTTGACTTCATTCTGTCTTTGGACAATAAAAGACTTGTAAGTTTGTTGATTATCAGATAATAAGCTCTGAATCTGCTTGTCACTGAGCGCAAGATGGTCATGAATAAAAGGTGTACAGACATACAGGAACATTTAAAACAGAAGCTTATCTCCTGCTGTGTAATAACTCATTTGACTTTTGACCCCTGTCATTATTGTGCGCCAGAATGAGGAAAATGAGCTGCTGAAGGAGCTCCTGAAGGCCAACATGGAGAGGGCAGTGAAAATGGAGGTTTACAGCACGAAAAGCACAAGGGTTCGTGAGCTGGAGGTGGTGCCGAGTAACATGTGGGGAGGACAGGGCCTGCTGGGTGCCAGTGTTCGCTTCTGCAGCTACCAAGGAGCCAGTGAGAACGTCTGGCACGTCCTGGTGAGCTGCTTCATCCAGGAAAACCCACTGAACTGACTCTGACCTGAACCTCCTCACCCATGGACTCATTATACAGTAGCTTCATATTTTGTTTGCTCTGTAACTGAGGTTTCTTTTCCCCTAGGATGTGGAGGCGAGTTCACCTGCTGCGCTGGCCGGACTTCAGCCACACAGTGACTACATTGTTGGAGCAGATCAGGTGTTGCAAGATGTAAGGCTCATTTTAATCTCATGCATCACTGTGTTAGGTTCTAATATACTTTCAGGGACGAGTTGTAGTTAATTCAGAGTTTCTGATTTACAGTCGGAAGACTTCTTCTCACTGATCGAGGTCCACGAAGGGAAGCCGCTGAAGCTGCTGGTGTACAACACACAAACAGATGGCTGCAGGGAGGTGGTGGTGACACCAAATGGAGCGTGGGGAGGAGAGGGCAGGTATGCGACAAAAAATTCACCTTGAATAAATTCATCTTTTTGACTAAGGAGTGTTTTGACTGACTGAGATAACATTCACAACTTCCATTGTTTAGATGCTAAATAAAGAGAAAAGTGCACCCACTTTCATTCTTGTGTTTTAAAGTAAATTCGCCTCCTATTGTTTTCAGTTTATTTAAAGAAATCAGTCATTGTAAAGGTAAACAAAATCAGTTGGCCATTGATTTACATTAAGGCGGTTAACGGTTATTTATACTGCATGATTTTATATGTGTTCACTCTTTAATAGTGATATTATCATATGAAATAATATAAAATGTCTCCTCCTAGTTTGGGCTGTGGCATTGGTTACGGATACCTGCACCGAATCCCTGCAAATCCTAATATATCAACTCCAAAGCCTCCCACCCCTGTTCCTGAGGAGAAACCCTCTCCAACACTGCCCACACATGGATTCACAGAGGTAAATGTTAAATTAGTGCTGCAATTAATGATTAATTTGAATTATCTATTTTTTATTATTTAGTCAATAAACTCAGTAACTAAAAAATGTCCCAAATCTTGAGAGTGGTTCGTTTTGATGAAAGAAAGTCTACATAGATATCGGGGCGCCCTGGTGGCTCACTGTGTAGAGGATGTGCCATGAAGGCTTGGTCCTGACTGCGGCAGCCCGGATGGCTCTTTGCTGCATGTCATTTCCTCTCTCTCATTGTCACTATTGAAATAAAGGCAAAAAATGCCCCAAAAAACAATCTTTTAAAAAAAATTCTAGATGACTAAATGACTTCACTAAATTAAATGAGTTACTGAAACAGTTTTCAATTAATTCTGTCAAGCAACTAATTTATTATTTGGCTAATTGTCCAATTCATTTCCATTGTTTGTTTCAGTGCTGATACAACTCTTTGCAGATTCAATGGAATGAATTGAATTCAGAGATAAGACAACAATAGTCATTAATCTGTGTTTGTGTTTCTTTTAACGGCCATATTGATTTTATGATAATGTCCCATGAGATCAAACTCTTAGCAGCTGACCTCTGTTTGTTTCCAGGCGCCTCTAATGGCTCCTTCAAGCCAAACTGAAGATGTACTGGACCTGGAGCAGGTCACCCTCCAGGACGCTTCTCTACCTCCACCCATCCAGAGAGTCATGGACCCTGGTCAGTTGTTTAAGGACAATATCTGGCTGTCGTCTGTGTGTCTATGAAAATCTTATCAGCAGCTGTCTTGTGTTTGTTTTTCCAGGTTTCTCAGACTCTGAAGTGGCAGTGATGAACCCTGATGCTGCAGATCTGGTGGACAGGCTGGATCTGTCCATGTCGTCCATCGACATGACCAACACTTCACTGGCTATGCACGAGGAGAAGGACGGTGAAATCTCTGGTGTTGGTGAGTTAACACAGCAGCAGTTCGTGCCATGTATAGATTTGGCAAAAGGAATTAAGTTGGAGGAGAAATTTATCACGTATTATTGCAGTTTTATCAGCCACTTTTTATGTTAATCTCCACTATATTTGATCTCTGGTCGTACAGAGGAGCTGGAGGACAGTGTACTGCTCTCATCATCGGCTGATGACCAGACTGAGTCACAAGAGCTGAGCTCCCAGGTGGCCACGGACCTCGCCTCTGCTCTCGCTTCCACTGACATTTTGTCTGATTCAGGCTTCCCACCAGCTGAACCGTATCATCTGCCCACAGAGTCCACGGACCTACAAAGCTTTCTCATGGAGTCTAGCGAGAGCCCAAGTCCACCTATGGGTGATTTGTCTCTCCCTGTAGACTCCCCTGACCCTCCTGCTGAGCCCTCTGTCCCGGCCGAAGACCCTCCCTGCCCATCTCCTATCGATGTCCTCCAGGCCTCGGCTGCTGACGAGTCGACGGCAGACGACTCTCCCGCTCAGGCTGTCGAGGATCCGACAGGGTCGGAGGAGGAGTCTGCAGAGCCTCTGGATGTGGCTCCTGCGCAGCAGTGCAGCCATGAGCACGATGACGAGGAGCCAGAGGAACCACATCTGGATTAAGCTTGTGTCAGGCTGAACACAAAGTACAAAAAACGCAAAGTTAGCTCGACGATCACTTTTTAAATGTTTTTTAAACATTTTTAAACACTTTAGAGGAAATACAGGACAGACCAAGGAAAAGCTGATAGTCTTAGTTACACTACAGAAACCAGCTGCAGCATTAACATATAAGTAGAAAATACTTTGAGGCACTGTAGGAATATCCTACATGTTTTATATGTGAGAATTTTAAGTTACAGCCAAAAAGGATGAAATGTTTCGACACATTTTTTCCTTGTCTGGTCAAAATTAAGATTATACGGGTGACGAGACTTTATTTCTGGTACACTAATGTGACGACTACTTGAATACTTCCAAAGATAAACACTTAGTATGTGAAAAACACACGTCATGCATTTACTACAGCAAAGACCAGCTGCACCTCAACATCTGTAACACTATCAAAGTTTTTAAAGCTAAGGCATTTTAGAATTGTAACAGTCTGATGGTGCAGTTTTTTTATCTGTTGAAGAAGCATCATCCACATGATTTCACAAGTAAGAGCTTTTAAGCTCAAGTATAAGAGGGACATTTACATTTATTGGGCTTTAAAATGTTTTGTTGTGGGATGAGGGAAATATTTGTCCACTTGCATTAAGTTAAATCAGTCACTACATGTTTTTACAGCACATCTGTCGTCAGTTTAATTTATTGCAGTCTGTGATCAATTTGAAAGCCATTTAAATCCCTGGTAAACTGGAATTATGTCCCCATGTTTCATTTTATATTATTTTCACCTTGTAATCTATGCAACCGTAGACGAGAACTGCTTGTGACCTTACGGGCAATGCATTTGTAATGTAAATCCAATAGATGACAAGCCTTTTCATATATGTAATACGTCTGGTAACAGTAATACTGCTGATTCATAGTTTTGTTTTTCTAGGGGGCTACTTAATGTTTTTCACTGTCGACGTAGGTGTTAGTGTGTAAAATAATGAAAAGTATTTTTGCAGATATTTTATCAATGAATCGTATGTTTTATTAGGAATGAGTGCAGAGTCTTTTGATGAATGTGAAATGGGTGAATCTTTGATGGTTAAACAATCGTATCACTTGACTTAAAAAAAGAAAAAAAAAATTGTCCCTTGTTTTGTCTTATTTCACACATTACAACTCAAGAAACATCCATCTATAATTCCCATAAATCTCAGTGTTAAACCATTCCAATTTATTTCTCTGAATGCCTAAAATATACATATTTCACAAATTATTACAACAGGGATATTGCAGTGTTATGGCCTAATTACGGTACCCAATCTGTTTTTGGCCAATTACAGCTCGCTTGATGCGTTCCCACTGCAGCGTTACACACACTCCTCATGGCAAAAATGAACTCCAGAACATTTACAATGAAAGGATTCGTTGTTCTGCTTGGTGACACACTAAGAGAGAAAATGGGTATTAGTGTTTATTTCACTTTGGTGAATTTCCCACAGTGGTTGAATGTTCATATATTCTCTTGGATGAGATTCCCCTTCAAGTTATATTTATGTTTCATTGAACTCCTATTGAATCTAAACGAAATATACATTAGGAACAGCCCTCACTGTCAGCAAAGTCACTGCTCATGAGCCAAGCACAGAGCAAGTAAGCACGAGTTATTGTTAAAGATATATACCTTATATATAATTTCCCCAATGACTTGGACGACTACTGACATTCTTCAGAGTAAACTGCAATCTCTGGGTTGTAGTGAATACAACAAATGCAATTTTTAAACATCCAAGTCAAATTACCTTCATGACCACGAATGTGCTCTAGGGATTTGGAAAAATAACTTGGTTTTTAAGTAAACTGTACAACAACAAAATAAAACTGCTGCAAAACCAAAAAAATAATAATCAGTCAAAAATGTTGTACATATATTTACAAAAAAAGAAAAAAAAGAAAAAAAGAAAAGAACATTCAGTCCATTGAGAACAGCACAGCTAAACAGAGGAGACAAAGACAAGCGCTTCTGTCAATGAAGTTCAATGATTAGACGTCTAAGCCGAGGTTAAGTTCAGGTTAAGATGGACGACGTTGACAACAGAACAGGTTAGGATCGCTTTGAGGAACTGTGATGCTACACAGAGACCAACCGTACTCCTAAACTGGTGATACTGCTGAGACGGGTGTGGAGTGTTTGTAGAACAAGGACAGTTTCTGGAATGTACTAGAACAGTCTACTACATCCATGTGTATATATATACATACACACTCACACACACTCACACACTCACACACACTCACTCAGACACAAGCATGGTCGCTTCAAAATAAAATGCCAGTCAGGAGGAAAGAAAAAAACATAGCAGTCAAAGATGTAGAAAAAAAAAAACAAAAAAAAAACAAAAAACAAAAAACAAAGTCGGTGTGTGCTGGAGAAAATGTTGGAGTCCATTCTTCAAACTGTAAAAAAAGAAACAATATGGACCATTTATCTCCCAGGTGTCTGTTGACTGCTCCGGCCTGTACTGGTCAGTTCCCTATGATACACCACGAGCCACGTCCTCACAAATTTTTACTGGATTCTCATTGATACCGCGACTCTTGACCACACAATGGGGTTTAGGGTACTACATGTCAGAGGTGGGTGGTGATTGGCAAATGACAAAGAGTTCTTGTTTTAAAAATTATGACTTTCACGTGGACTTCTGCCTATAGTGAAGCGTCAAGTCCCCTCCGCTCTTCCAGATAAAATGTTTAACTGTTCGCAGGTCCATGTTGGGATCCAGAACCTGGTTCAGAGATAAAAAAAAATACATAAAAGGTTAATAAAACGAACTACAGTTGAGGGTGTACTCGTGTCCAGATGTATTGGAAAGACTGCGCCCACCTGGTCTTGACACATTAGCTCAATCTTCTCCTCGGCTAGCATGGCCATGTCCTCCTCCTTCTCCTGCTCCCCGGGTTTATCGTTGGCCGTGGAGCTGGTGGTCTGCGACTCGTTGTCCAGGTTGATGATCTTCTCGTAAACGTGCTCCATCACCTTCCTCACCTGGAGCATGTCACTGGCTGAGAGACGGTCCCTGCAGAATGCACAGCAGGTAAAAAAAAATCAGCTCTCAGCAGGCATGCTGTAACTCACTGAAGACCTGCAGCACTGAAGTCTGTATACATGAGCTGACTTTCTGCTCAGTGTTTTACATATTAACAAGGGAAATACATGTTTTTTGTTTTATTTTAACAAATCCCACAAGAAAAATTGAGGAAAAAACTCACTTCTTCAGAGTTTTTGCACCAGAGGAGGAATGGGGCTGGAGGTAGAACGGGATTTTGTTGAACTTGGGCATATTTTTCTGCAAAAGAAGAAGGAGGATAACACAGTATGGTTATTAAAACATGGCAGGAATACATGAAAGGTCATAGAAAACAGGAGCTTCCTACTGTGAAAACAGCTGCCCTGCACGTCTACATTTCAGATTCTCAATCTTGAAACTAGTAAACACCATTATGTGTTTCCCTCAAGACATAAAGCTGAACTATCTGAACTGAAGACACAGTCACTTTTTAAATCTCAAAACTAAACTCACGATTCTTCTTGCATGTTTTTACATAACACAGAGAACCGCCCCACACTTCCAAGAATAAAATGATATGAAATGAAGTTTTTGAGAATAGAGAAAAAACACCTGCTCCGTTACTCTGAAGACAGTTTCTGTAAGAAGACAGACCATCATACTCACATCTACAGTTATATCAATAACCCACTGTGGAACCGTCTCATTCAGCAGCATGGATTCAGTCTCCCCGCCTGAATCTCTACATAGCAACCTGAAGCACATAACACAAGACATCAAATGCAATTAGGAGCTGCAGTCAGTCAACTACCAACATTTGTATATGACATGACAAATCAATTTAACAAATATAGAGTGATGAGACAAGATTACATAACAAAGCCCATGGCAGAGCTCTCAATTTACATCAATTTAATTTGCTAGAGAAATAAATACCTAAATAGAGTTCTGCCTCCTGCTTCCCCAAAGATGACTGGCGTGTGTGGTGGCACCTGGAAATATCCATTTCCCTTCTGGACCCTGTTCTCCTGCTCTCCGTTCACTGTGGACACAAGAACACAATCCTGCTGTAAGAAAGGCTGAAAGACGCCTCGGACAACCAGCGCTCACTGACAACAGTAGGATAAGAGTGTGCAGCCATGAAAACACAAACACACACACACACACACACACACACATCGAATAGAGGGATCGTCAAGCATCAGACCGTCTCCTTACCGTGGTTCACCTCGTTCTCTTCCTCATCCATGGGGTTGATGCGAGTTCTGGGCCAGAACTCCAGCAGAGCCTGCAGCAGCAGTCCGCCCAGGTTCACTGCAAAGACCAAAGGTCAAAGTCATGCAATATTAAGTTACAGACTCAACTCTGCATTATTTAATATGTAATTGTATATAAAATATGAATAGGTGAGATATCTTACACTTTGGGTCGGATCCATCAGAGCTCGAAAACCCTGCGTCCTTTGCGGACACCCAGGCGGCGAAGCAGTCGCTCTCATCCAGTGTGATAGTGAGCATCTATTCACCGAAAAAAAGGAGAAGCATAACACAACTATAAGACGACTAAACCAGACTTGGAGAGGGGTTCTAAGAAAAAGTCACAACTGCTAGACGGATTCAAACTTCTGGTATTACCAGGTTTGGTACTCACCCCAGTTTTCAGATCAACAGAGAACCAATTTGGCACATAGACCATCTTGAAGCGCTTCTTGATCTCTTCATCAAACTCCACTTTCCCCAAGTCTTCACCCTTGCAAGCCTAAAGGTAAAATAATAATTAAAACCACAGATATCATCAGGAGTGTTTACACAAGGCTCATTAGGGTAATTAACCACAACCGTCCAAGTCCCAGCAGCCTGTGATTTGTTCAAACATAATTTGACAGACACACTCCGAAATAACAACTTAACTATGGGATAGATTTACCTTTAGGACATCCCAGAAAGCCACGTTGTTGTTGGTATCTTTGGTGAGTATGTGTCTCTTGTCATTCAGAATGTGGCACTGGATAATACTGGCACCTCCTGCCAACACAACAGAGAGCTTTATTGAAAAAAGAGACACCAGAATGAATGACTTGGAGAGCGCTGTAAAAACAAAGCACAAGTTTACCTTTGATGACTTGCTCTGGCTGAGTACACAGTGGTGTCAGAGGGGTGGTGCAGTCGTTGTCGTACTCCCCTGATGATCTGAAGTTGTGCATTCCCTTTAGAGACTGCACAAAACATACACATTATAATCATTAGAGATTGTCCTGGATTTTAATAATCACTTCCCCACTTCTCCTTGCAGCAACAGCTGTGATTAATGTAATGCAATTATCTTTATTATTATCTTGTATCACCCACTCCATCACAAAGCCTGTTTTTAAATTTCTACAGACATTAGAGGAGGGATTCAACCAAAGAGGATCAGGCGTTGCCACATGCACAAGTCTGTATCTGCACTGAATTTCAGTCATTACGTTGACAGTCGCCCAGTGATCTCAGAGGTGTCACGCATGCTTACCCATTTATTAACGGATGACTTGGTGGTGGAGACCCAGATTGCTGGAGGTGGGTCAGCAGATCTGTCCAGTTCCATCTGAGCAAAAGAGAAAGACGGCAAAAAGGACTGAATGACTCCAAATGGAAACTTCCGAGCACAAGAATGACCAAGGACAATAACAGGGTTATTATTTTGATTTCATTAAAATCAGTGCTGTCATTACCCCCAAAGCAGAGATAAGACAAGCTTCGAAGAAAAAACACAAACAACTCATGCATGTGACATTAATGTCTGCACAGTGACAAGCCGTTGAGGGTTTTTTTTCCAAGTTAAGACTGAGAACAAGTAACATGTATCGCACTATGCATGAAATAGAAACTCAAAACTCAGGTAAAATGAATAAAAGATTAAACACAAACTATCAGACTCAGTATTTACATGTACTCTACAGACACCAGCTGAAGGCAGTGTCAGCATACAAACCTGTACTGCTTGTGAGTAAACATTTTAAATTAAAAAGTTATGAAAAATCCCAGAAGTAATTTCTTACTTTGAGCACCGGGGCCTTTTCCTCACAGATGAGCACACGGATGTCTGGGTTACGCAGGTCAGTGCAGTAGATCTTTTTGTCCCTGCCCCCAGAGTAGACGTGTGTGAAGGCCTCATTGACCTGCAGGGCCCACACCCCTTCATCATGCACCCGGTAGGTGGCGATACACCTCTGCTGTCCGAGCGACCACAGGCGAATAGTCCCGTCAGAACTGCCCGACAGGCACTGTGTGTGTGTGTGTGTGTGTGTGTGTGTGTGTGTGTGTGTGGGGAGGGAAACAGAAAGACACAGATTAAAATCCAGAAAATTCTGTTAAATGGCCGCCAACCACTGTTAATGTCAAACATCTTAAGTCACCTGAGTGCCGTCGCGATTCAACAGCAACGACTTGACGTTGTCTGTGTGACCTTTTAGCTTCATCAGTTTAGCACATGTTCGAGGATCCCACACTCTCAGAACCTGAAGAGAAGAAAAGAAAGAAAGCAGAGGAAGAAAGAGAAGGAGAGGACGGGCACGTGATCACTGTCAAATACACAAAGTAAAGTTTCATTTCCTGTGCCACAGTTTGCATCATTTTTTAAATAACACCATTAATGATGTGTGGTAGCCAACAGGGAACAACTTTCCAACATCGTGGACACACTTTGTTACATACGTCAATTTTTTATGCTGATGAATTTCAAAGAGCACCGTGACACCCAAACTGTTTTCCACTAGCAGTGAACCTGTACCCTTTCTGATGCACACATACAACCCCAAAACCAGTTTGAATCAAACTAAGATGTTAACACTCAACAGCAGTTCAAGAGTAATTTACTTCTGATCTGTGAGTTTTTGCCTTCAGCAAACTAAAACTGGATAAAAACAACATTGGTTGAGATGTTAACATGACGTGAAATAATCTGAGTGTTGCATTAATCAGGTTTAATCGCACTATCAATGTGTGAATCACTGATGGGAATCCAGACCTTTTCTGTGGATCCAGATACAATGACTGTGCCCATCTGGTTCATAGCCAGACTGTAGATAGAGTCCTTGTTCCCACTCAGTGAAGAGGCTGTTGCAAACAAAACAAAATAAGTCCACAGGTATAGAATTTCTTCCACTGAAAAAATATAAGCTATTACAGAAAACTAGTTCATGTCAAATGCACAACAATCACAACTACGGTATGTGGGTCAGAAATGGGCACAGCTGTCCCACAGAAACAAACACTACTTACTGGTAACAGTGTTGTTGGAAGCAGTGAGTGCCGTTAGTGTGTTCACGTCCCAAAGAAAGATCTGTCGGTCCAGACCTGCCGATGCCACCAGCTCCTTGTCCTTAGCGTAGGCCAGAGCTTTCACGTAGTCCTTGTGTGTTCGTAACGTCGACATACAGAACCCTTTGTGTGCATTCCATACTTTCACTGTCGTATCCGATGAGGCAGATATCACTGAAAATGGAGGAAATTCATGAGAACAGCACAATGTAAGATACAATGCCGGAAACTAAACTGCACAAAGCCTGAATATCAAATCAAGTACAGCTGTAAGTAATCAGACTCACATGTTTTTCCATTGCAACAGAGAACTATGTCATTAACCCAGTCTGTATGATGCTCCATCGAGGCAATGTACGGGTCCTGCTACAATGAAAGAGGAAATTTTTTTGCCAATTCCACGTTAGAATAAGATCACGTGATAACACAGATGGCTAATCGTAACATGAATCTTTCATTTCAATATAGCTCGGGAGAAAAATAAGTTTTACCTTGTGCTGGTAGACACTCCATATCCGGATGATAGAGTCCCTCCCAGCAGTGAAGAGCCGGTTCAGAGCAGGGTCTAGCTGGAGCGCATTCACCCCATTTCGATTATACTTCTCCACCTCATCTCTAATGACATAGGACACCTGAAATACAGGGAAGGGAGTGAGCACACCTACTTCCTTGTACACATTTCGAAGCCGCAACACGCTAAGTTTCCTGCACTTGCAGAGCTAGCTAATGAAACGTGTAGCCGAGTTAAATGACATATATATCACAAATGAATTCGCCATAAAATCATTTTAGTAATGGACAAATCAAGTGTTTATGACGTTGTTTGATTTGATAACAATGAATAATGGCAGGGTGCACGACAAAAATCACCGAGATACGTACGTATTCCCAGCAATTAGACCGAGCCCAGATACAGTGTAGCTGTAGCTACCGATAACGCTGCAATAGCACAAAAATGCTGGTAAGACAGCACATTAACCGATGGTTCTGACTGACGAGCTTGGTTGTTATTTTATTACGTATTTTACACGAACTCGTGTGAGAATTGTTTACTAAAGCATGTAGTCATTTCGACGCTGGCGTTAGCAAGAGACGCTAACAACTAACGTAAGCCAAGCTAGCTAGGTTAGCCGGCTTGAGTCATGACTCGTAACAGCAACGCTATCTTTTTCGGGCGGTTTTCGGTGTCCGTAAAGTGTTCGCGAATCACCATTTTAAGCTGAAGACCTTCGTACAGCCGTTGCCAAACACTTAGCAGCAATGCAACTCTGATAATTTACCTGTACTTTTCTCCGCCCAGCAGCATTTTGCCTGTGATGCGTGGCCATCTTGCATGTTGACAGTCAATTCATGTGATGCTACATCCGGGAAGAAAAGAAAACATATGCACCTGAGCTTTATGGGTAATGTGGTTTTGCACTGTCCTCCACTTTCACCGCAGGAAGGGCATTTTCCCTGAGGATTTGTTCATTTTCCAGGTATCCTATTTCAACATTGTCAGGTCCCCGGGAAACCTGAGAAATGTCTAAAATGTTTGTGAGAAGGTATTTTAACATAATCCTTTAAATTGGCACAGGGGCAGAATTTGCCATTAGGCAATGTGTGCATGTGGGCCCCTATAGGGTTTACTATGATGTTCAACCATAAAATCAAATAACAGTCCTTTTCTAACATACATATATCAATATACTCTCAGATATCTTTAAAAAAGAAGCCCTCAAAGTGTCAGTTCTAAATATGCCCCTGAACTGACAAAGCAGGGTTGGACACACACTCACAGGCAGGGGCGGAGCCAGACATTGTAAACATTCAGGGCTTAGCCCCAATTTAAGTCAATATTCAGGGGATATGCTCCCCTGGGTAATTTTTTTTATTTACTGTATCATCAAGCCATTTGGGAAAAACATGATAGTTGCCAATAAAAAAATCATCCTGAGCCTGCATCATATTTTGAATCTAATTGTTCTTTGTCTCCATCAGCCTGAAACCACAGCACAACAGATTTTGACAATGGCTAATTTTCACTACTGTCACATAAAAAGAGTCAAAAATTGTCTGATGTTACTATTTTGAATTTACACGACATAGGTAGGGAATGAATTTGGCATAAACAGGCTATTTCTCCAGTACAGTACTAATAGAGCTCCAATTATTTGCCAGTCCAGTCAGACTGAGAGGAAATGACACCAAGTTGAAGTTATAAATATAAATAATGTTATTATAAACTTCATATAAGATTCAGACCCGCCCCCCTCGCTCCGCCTATGCTCACAGGTAAGCAATCCTTAAATAGAATGGCTTGGAAATATATTCTCAGTCTTCTTTTCCTCTTTTACACAACAGTTAATTAGCCACATGTACAGTATGTGAAATACAAATGTTGACCCACCTTGATAAATAATCTTATCAGAACAGACACATTTGCATGACATTGTAACAAGGACCAGCCAGGGTTTTAGAAATACTGAGGTCATGAGTCAAAATCAAGCATTTTATTTTATTTCCCATCAAGCCTTTGCTGTTTTAAAGCCGTCCTTATGCTGTTGGTGGTTGGTAAAAATCAGGGCATGACTTCGGTGTTCTCAGTGAATGCCAGGCCCCTAATGGTGACTTGGGTATTTTGCAACTTTGTCATAAAAGCACAACTTGCAACCACAATGACCTAGACCTGAACTACATAGATAGACAGGCTGTTAGTGGCCACTGGAGGGCGCAGTGTAACACTGTAAACACTGCAGGCAAATGCTACACAGCTAAGTAATCTAAAACCTCCTCATTGGAAACCCATTGGAAACACACAAAATGAAAATGCTGACAGCTTGTGTTAAATCGTGGCCGTTTCAAGGTTCATTCAAGTGCAACAGGGTTTGATTTCTAGATCACACAGCAGGTGATTTCATTGATTAATGTGCCTGACAGTGAAATAAACTGATGTAGATGTTGGTCAGCACATGCTCGCCTGTCTCTGAACTGCAATATTAAGTTAAATGTGTAAATTCGACATTAATCTTGCGATAAAAACAAACATTAAAGGAATTTGCATATGTTTAAAAGACCCCCACCATCTCCTCACAAACTCATACAAAGCTGACATTAAGTTACATAATGTTACCACATTCAGTTTAGATAAATTAAAGCAGCCTATGTCTTTCCCCCACAGTGTACTCTGTAAATAAGGTTGACATTTCCCCTCCACTGTGTCCCATTTACTGATTTTTTTCCTACTTGGTGATGTGGGAAAACCGCCAGCTCTCTCACTACATCCCTGTGTCATATTTGAGTGTGACATGGTGCGCCTATAGGAGCGGTAATCCTCTGTGGTCCAGCAGCATCCTCCCTCCCTCCCTCCCTCCCTCCCTCCTGTTCTCTTGCTCAAGGGCAAACCGAGGTGCTTCTCTCCCGCCGCCGCGCAGCATCCGCCCCACACTCTGCGGCTCGGGACCTCTCCTCTGTGGGATGAATACGACAGAGCCACTCAAGTGGAATGGAAGCGGACAACTTGTGCGTCCCCCCACCCCCCGCGGCCGGTTTCAAAATGTCCAACAGAAGGTGATTAGACCTGTGGTGTTTGTGTAGAAGTCAGTTGAGTGAGTTTCCTGCCCTGTTCACTGGAGTTTTTGGTCCACGATGAAGCGGAATAAGCCTTGAATTGAAGACATGGATTTTGCTCGGAGGGTTTGGCAGCTCCTTCTTCTGAAAACCGAAGAACTTAACTCTGGAAACTATGCTGTAAATCTCAGAGTTTCATATGTAAGTATCCCCTGTGAGGAGCTTTAGATTCTGGCATTAATATTTAGCATACAGGAAGTGTGTGGCTACACAGACACTCAAGTAAACAACTTCTCAAAGACTAAATGCTTGGCACTATTTCTTAACTGTTTAGTCTGCTGCTTTTCTTTGTTTTCACCTTGATGATGATGAGTTAATGGAGAACTTCTTCATACAATAAAAACATATCAAAACAAATCATAATTTTAAAAAAAAAGTCCTGCTTTTAGGCTTAAGATATAATTTAAAACAACACTAACATGGCTTATGTTATACAGTATAATCCTAAAAAAGACTAAATACCAGGAAGTGCATAATGCAAAAATATCCATTTAATGTTTTATGTTGGAGTCTTAAGCATTAAAGGCTTACCCTTACTTTAGCAACTCACTTTCATGAGCTTTCCCTGTGGCAAAATCTGTTACGAATACCACACAGGGACCACAAGCATTTCTAGTGCAAAAATTTACTGTTCCACTGCTTCCATAAATCATTGAAATGAAATGGGTAACGCCTTACATAATGATATGTGAGGAAGTGGTTATCATACATTTTCCTTATTTGGAAACATCCTAAACCAGAATGCGACACTTAAAGTTGTGATCATCCTGGTGTGTAACGTGATGTAAATGTATTAGTTTTAAGATTCAAGTGATTTCGAAGCGAGACGTTCAAAGACACATGAGAATCCGAGAGTCTGAGACAGCAGAGCTCAGAAAAATCATTTCACTCTACTCGCATTAATATTTTCAACCACTGTCTCATTTTGTAGGTCTATACCTTCCACATCCTACAGTACGTATTTAAGCTAAATGCTGCAATTACATTGAAAGGTTTTTTGCAAAAGAAGTAGGTCATCAGTTCAGGACCACAGCGTAAAGAGGGCGGCCGACACGAAACATTAGGAACACGCAGTATGTACACTTTGACCTCCAGCCTATGGTGGAAGTTCATACTTTGTGACGCTTGTGGTTGTGGCCCAAGCCCGTCTTGTTTAATCTGCTTGTTAAATTCAGTATTCGAAGACGATATTAAATTCCTGATGTGTTACCATAGACGTTGTACTGTATATGGCAAATCTGAGAAGTCTTGATCCGCGTAAGAAAGGAAACAAAAACCATCAACAGGTATATAATATAATCAGAAATGACAATTTAAAATGAAAAGAGCAACATGTGAGCACATAAAAAAAGTAGTCCTAGATGACACCACCAATTTCAGATTATATAATAAATCTGTACGAGTGAACAAACACTGAAATGCTTGTTGTGTTATCATATCCTGAAATAACCCTCACCAGGATCTAACCTCATAAATCCAGAGAAGCACAAAAGCCTAATGTTTGAGTAAAAGTAACACAAAAGCGCATCATTCAAGACACCACTTTTACTCCAGAAACCTTTTTACATAATTGTTTGTTTGCATGAATATCCTTTGGTATATTTAGTCAAAGTTTTAGAAATAGTACATGTTACATAATGCCCATGATGACGAGGTGAACACACTTGTCCTATTTTAAGGACACAATCTGTAAAATTTAATCCAGGACATTCACAGGAAACATGGAATATATGTATTTCTGGCTTTTTAAATATTAAGAAAAAAATATTTGGCCAAAACTCAGATAAAAAAAAAAACTTGTGAATGTGTAACTAGATAAAAATTTCTTTAATGATAATCAGGTGACAAAGTAACAGAAGCTGCGCTGACATTTCCCCTGGATAAATAACTTAAACTACAACATTCAGGATGAAGGACAAAAAGTGAGGATGACATCAGACCATATGTCAAAGAAGGGTCAGCTGATCTGGTCCACATGCTGCAGAAAGTCCCTCTCATGTGTCTGATAATAACAATAATTGTTTCCCGTTGAAAAAGTCCTTGGAACATACGTTGACACGGCGAAATAGTCCAGTTAATAGAAATATAGAAAAACATCAACCATCTGGCTGCACAGAGCCGACACCGCTAAAAACAAACAGGGGAGTATGTGATAGAAGATGTAGCAGCTTATTCTTGTAGACAGTCAATCATCTTGAAATGAAAGGGGAATGCCTGTTATTTAGTTTGGTGCATATTGTTTTCACACTATAATGCAGGTTATCGTACACAAATTTAATCTGATCAGTAACCTCCTGCGTCACACACATGAATTTCATCTTTTCTGTCAATGAAGTCTCGATAACAAATCTTGCTCTACGGAGATATAACAGCACAAAAAGTGTCACTTTTGACAGATACAGTGTTTGTGCAGCCAATTGCAATAAAAATGAAGAGAGATTTATCAAATTTAAGACTTTTCTGAGACCCTGACAGGCACATATGACATCAGTTTCCTATTGCACTGATACCATTCATGACGCACTACAGCTCTTACCCAGAGGACCGATACTCCTCAGGGATACAAGGAACCTCACATGGGCTTTTATTTCCAAAAACATAATTTCTCCTTCAGCACGCTGGATTGATTGAATTATCTTAAATGCTACTGAAACTTAGTCTCGTTTAAAGCTGCTGTTGGTTGTAGAGAGAAATCCTGCTATTGTCTTTTATTTTATTT